GTAACATTTCTTTTTAACTGTAAGAAAAAAAAGCTTTGTTAGAATTAACAGTCTTCCTTTCTGAAGAAGAAAATGTACAGAGCAGAAGAGCTTGGCCCTTTGGGACACTTCAGTTTTAAGATAATTCCTCCCGATGGGCTGTTATCCTCAGAGTAAAGTAACTTACTACCTAGCTAAACCCCTGCTTAGAGGGTGAGTTGACCATTTACATGTAACACACCTGAGGTCAGACAGAAAACAAAGCTTTCTGCTATTTTTGGCTTCTCGTTTGGAGGTGCCTAGTTAGAGGTGAAATTTACCAGCGTGAGTGTGCCCATCTGGTTGCACAGAAGGTGGTATGTTCATGATACCCATGATTGCTGAATTTAACAAATAATCCAATAAAGGCTTTAAAAAAAATTTCTCACACTTATAAAAACAAGAAGGTACAAAAAAGTCATAGGTTTATATCTAATAAAATGCTTTTATTGAAAAAGAGTAAGGTCACACAAAATCCGGACCAACCTAGAATACCTTGAGCGCATAATTCTTATGAGAATATTAGATAGAGCCCTGGGCAGTGTGGCTCGGTTGGTCGAGCATCTTCGCACGCACTGAGAGGCCTCAGGTTCGATTCCTGGTCAGGGCACATGCCTGGGTTTCCGGCTCCATCCCCAGCAGGGGGTGTGCTCCCTAAAGTGCTGCACCCTCATCTCCTCTGCTTGTGGCCATTGCTTTGTCCTGGGGCAGTGAGGATAAACTTTGTTAGATGCCACTAACACTGAGTGGCCAGAAGAGATATGAAGTGGACTGAGGCAAGAAAAATGACCTGACTTCACAGAAGACAGAGTTCTTACGGGGAAAGAGACAGTTGCTTGGAGTCGACAGGGAACTCCCCCTGCGCTGGCAGGTCACAGCACTGCTGCTGTGAAAGCCTGTGGCAGGTACCTTTGCTTATCTGTGCGCCCCACATGCAGGGCAGGTCTTAGAACTCTGAGGATTTGGCCATTGCTGCTGTTTTCAAAGGCACCTGAAAGACCAGTTGTGTTCCATTTCGAATTGATTATTCCTGGGATTGAGCTCTTGGCATGATTTAGAAGTGATAGCTGAATGAAACAAAAACTGATCTTTTACAAAAACAGTATTTTTATGTAGATAGAATATTAACTCCGTAAGAACCTGGAAGACCCTGCTCTTTAACTTCTGCACTCTCAAATATTTGAAGAACTACTGGGCAAAAGATGATCTGTGCTGTCTTCCCAAAAACCCAGGTCGTAGCTTTAAGCATCTAGAATAGAGGTTGGCAACTTCTGGTTCTTTGACCAAATTTAGTCACAGATGTATTTTGTGTGGCTCTTACAAGCTTTAGCTCTTATAGTGACTGGGATTTCAAGCTTTAGACAAATCCTCAAATCCAGCCACAGTGGGTTTACATTCCTTCAGGCAATGACTTTGAATAGAGGTCCCCTCTTCTGACGCAGCTACGCTTTCCAGTTGGCTCAATGCCTGGCTCTCCCCTGAGATATGAAGCTCCATTTGTTTTTATCATTGCACTTCTACTGAGGATTCCCTTCTAGCAGAGTGGGAGCACCCTGGCTCCTGTACAAATCTGAGCTTGAGACGCCTATAGGCATCTCACTTACAATCGCTAACAATAGGAAGTGGACCCTCATATTGCTAGTAATTATAGCAAAGTTAACAAGAAAAATTGTCTCTTGTAGCTCTTTTATTTTTCCTAAAGAAATGATCAAATTATAATATCTTTGAAAAATTTACTCGTTACATCTATATTGTTATTTTCCCCCTTTTCAGTACCAAAAAAAAAAAAAAGTTAATTCAGTGGATGCAAGCACATTTGAATGCCAACCTGTCAACGTCTTTTGTATTTTCACTCTTCTGGGCTCTGAGAATACTTTCAAATAGCTCAGTCCAAAACAAAGCCAGTAAAAAGGCAGAAATAAAAGTAAAAATGTACCAATGAATGATCGATTGTGGAGAGGCATTTATTCATCACTACTCATTTGATTCGAGAACTCTTAAACAAACAAACAAACAAACAAAACCAGCAGAAGCAGGCCGCTTAATGCAGGTCACTCCGAGAGCAGACTTTTGCTTGGGTAACAGGCAGTGGTAAGTATGGCTGGCAGACTAATAGAATCTTTTTTGATTTCTAAAAACATATTTTTAAGCTGCTTATTGGCTACTGAGTAATTCCTGTGCAGGTTAAACTTGACTATGACCGAGTGAGTAATCTCTCCATGAAGCGATGCTATCACTCATCATTTATCACCCATCCAGTGGGACAGTTTCAGTATGTACAGATCCATGGTGACTGTGGGTTTCACTTTATGAAATGTAATGACTCATGTACTGGGTTTGATATTTCCAAAGAAATATTGGTCCTGATGACAGCTTTTATGGGGCTGCCTGAATATGACTGAGTCAACAAAAAATTATTTTACAGAATTACACAACAGCAAATATTGGTAAATGTTGGTATTAGTGTTGCTAAATATTAGTATAATATTAGTGAACTTTATTTTGCATAGGAAAGAAAATCCATTCATAAGAAGGGCATAATTTCTTCCTCACTTCCACCCTGAGAAATAGGTAGACATTTGAAGAAATTGTGTGTCTAAGAGTTTGGGACTTAATGTCACATAACTAGGAAACAGGGAATCTGGGATACAGCTCAGGAATTCTGACCCATATGAGGGTCTTTGCATGACATCCTGCTGCAGAACCATTAGGGAGCAATACCTTCTCTGAGCTGTTGAGGAGAAAAGAGATATGTGTACCCCAAGATAAGACTTGAGTTGTTGTTTTCTATACCTGGTTTTAGTTATAGACTTTAAAGAAACTCAAACTGTCATTATTATTGTTTATGCTCCATCAGTATCGGGGTATCTGCAAATTGGTTTGGACAGAAGATCTGAGTCGAATGGAGCTTTTCTCTGTTTTTATTAGGAGTGAGTCTGAGAGTTTCTCTGACAAAACGGAGAACGGCGGCTCCCTGGGAAATAACCACAGCCCATACTCAAGCCTGATAAGAAATTAGAAAAGGAGTCACTTTGAGCAAAAGTGTCATAAGGTAGCGATGAGGCTACAAGCAGGAAGCGTGCAAGACGCATGGGTTTGAAACAAACTGACTCCAGCTTTAATTCCAAGGACAGATAGATGTCGTGATCAGTAAACGGAGAGACAGCTGACACTGAGCAGAAAACCAAGAGGGTGATAAAATTAAGCACATTCGTAAGGCAAGTAGAGGAAATGATCAAAATAACCACCAAAGAACAGTCAAGTCTAAATCTAACTTTTTTTTCCTTCTTCCTGTGATATGTTGACATTGTTGAAACCTTTATAAAGCTGTAGATCTCTTGCGCTGGGTGATAAGAATCCTGGTAATGGGTCTTCCAAAGAGCAGGGCCATTGTGCGGGAGAGGAGTGCGGGGCGCCAGGACAGAAGTGCAGCTAATGGTGCGTGATATAAGCAAACTGCCAGAGTCTAGTAAGGTAACCGCGAGCGCCTAGTCTTTCTAAGCTGCTCGTTCTTATATGCAAACCTGAAATAATTCAAAGCACCCTTTTGAGGAATAGAGGGAAGAAATACCAAGATGCCTAAGAAATAATGTGGGTTAAATTAACTGTAGCTACCCCCCCCCATGCTTCCCTAAGCTAGAGCATACGGTTTAAATGAGGAAAAATGATGACAAAGTACCACACGGGAGTAAGAGGATCTCAAAGTCTGACACGAAGAAGTTAAGTGAATTTTGCCCAGCATTGCTTAGCTGGTGTAACTGGAGGAAAACCAGGCTCCTTTGGTTCCAAAGCTCCTGCCATCCCCCTTCTGCTTCTACAAAATGAGATGATCTGTAAGCAATTGAAAGGTGATAATTACCTTTGCTTTCAAGTCTCAGAGTTAAGCCTTAGTTTCTCTGTCCCAGTAGCTTAAATCACCGCCCTTCCTTCCCTTCCTGCGCTGGTCAGGGGCATGGGGTAGGCAGGCTACGCAGCCCAACGCATTCTAGGCCTGAACCCAGGACCGGGCTCCTTCTCCGTTTCCCCGTCACTGCTGCAGCCTGCACCCAGCCTCCCCCAAGACTAACTTGAACCGCCTCTGGTGAAGACACTTTGCATCTTACTTCAAGATGCAACTGTGGGTAGTAAAATCACAATTTCAAAGCCAAGGGAGGAAACACAGTGAGAGGAGATATTGGGCTTGCTGCAAAGGAATCTTTTTTTTTTAATTTTTAATTTTCCTTGATCAAATTATGAGAATGATATATGGGAGGAGAAAATATTCTAGTAAATATGGTATGGTGAGGAGAGTCTGTAATATGAGCCTGGTGTCTCAAGGGAAAGTTCTTACATTTGTGGCCCCTGGGCAAGAATTTAACCCATCTTTATTCCACATTTCTCCCTGCCAGACTTGGCTGGAATTCCAGACTGAGGGCGTTTTTTTTTAACCCTTCGTCCGCCTTTCTCTTGTGGCTTGTGTGGCGCTGTGGTGGGCTAGCCTCTCCGCCCAGTCTCTGTCCCTGTGCATGGCTATAGGAGGCTAGCTCTAGCAAACAGCTAGGTAAGGAGCAAGTGGGCACTCCAGCCTTTGAACTAATCCAGCCAGTGTCAATACCAGACAGCTAGTTTCCTGGGTATGGCCTGACTGGGTTTACTTAGCCTAAGAGTGTGTATTTAAAGCCCGGGGTTTAATGACTAAAGTCATTCGAGCCCCTGAGCTGTGTGTGCATAGTCACACGGTAGAGCTGGGATCCCAGGGCAATCGAGACTTGCAAGAGCTGCAAATGTGGTCAGTGGAAATGAACTCTCAATTGAGCTCCGCAGCACGTGACTTCCTATTTCTGTAAGGTACTTCCAAGGGACTTCCTCTGTAAAATCAGCCTGCGTCTCCGGAGATTTCATTTAGCGCCGTAGCTAAGTTTTTAACTTCCAACTCGGGACAGGAGTTTTCCCTGAGATACAGTGTCAGTTTCTTCTCTTTCTCTTTGCCCTGCCGCTGCCAGCATGCAAGGATCTGGTGGCTCCTGTCCGTGATCGGAAGCTGAACACTCTGGTGCAGATCTCCGTAATCCACCCGGTGGAGCAGGGGCTGACTAGATACTCCAGCACGGAAATTGTGGAGGTGAGCATGCTGTGCGCGCCTGCATTCCTCCCTGGGTCTGAGCGAGCTGTGTCACTGTCCCCTATCATTTCCGAAAGCATACCTGGGGTCATTCAGCATGCCTTGGTGACTTCCCAGAATAAACACATGGGGGAAGAAAGTGCCTTTTTCATAAGAGACCTTATTTTTACTTAGTATATAGAAAAATTCCCACTTTGAATCCTCCAATAGAGTGGCAAATAGAAAGAAAAAATATATATAAATTTTAAATGAAAATGGAATGAATGTTTATCCTTTGGCAGGGGTGGGGGGAGGAGGGGGGTGGAGAAAGTCATAAAGTACCCAGAGAAGTTTAAACCTGCAAAATATTTTTCTGCCTTTTTCATTTTTTCCTGTGTTCTTCAGTCTGTCTATGGAAACGATAATCTCAGCTGTTTGCGTCTGTCTTTTGAAAGGACGATGTTTTTCAAAGAAAGGTCCATGATGATTTTGAAAAACTCAGGTTTCTAGGCAAAAGGTGTAAATACTACTCATCAGATGAGAGATTTCCTACTTACATTTATTGTTGCTAATATAACATTTAGTATGTCTCGAGAGGAAACTCTTTATTGTGTTGGATCAAATTCAAAAGAGGAAGTGTTTCCCTTTTGATTATTTTGTATTTATCACACACATTTGAACACATGGGACTAAAGACAGTGCGCTCTGAACGCCTCAGCTTTGCCTGCCTTTCTCAGACCTGTGCGCCCCGTCCGCTTTGAATGGGGAGTTGCTCTGCAAGAACCGGCCTCAGGCCAGGCTGGCTCAGGGCTGCCCTGCGTCTTGATGCCGTTGGTGGAATAAATGATTCAGACTGAACGCCTCTCTTTCTCTAATGGCAGTGACCCAGGTCCTGCACACAGCCCTGAGTCTGTCCTGTGGAAACTTTGGGCTCCAATGCTGGTATAATTTGTAGTGAATGCTGTAGTTGAACAAACAAAACTAGTCTCATTCATATAAAAAAAACTTGGCTGCAATTGTAAAATGGTTCATTTATAGGAAATACATTTTTAAGCATTATTCCAACGTCATTCTTTTTAAAATATTGTGAAAATTTTAAATAAACTATTTATTTTGACACACTTCAAATTTTTATATTTGAATATATATGTGTCTATGTCTATATATATGTGTATATATATAGTTATATAGTTATTTTGGGGCTGTTTTATTTACTTCCTGCTCTAAAGTGTCTGACACAGTGAGGAACAAAAATAGTATTTACTGAGTAAAGAGAAGAAAGAATGAATAAACATGAATTACTTGGGCTTTTAGAAATGTTCATAGACAATTGGTTTGCAAAACTAGTAAACATCTCAATAATATTCAGCAATACAGGGCGGGGCAAAAATTAGGTCTACAGTTGTGAGTACATGAAGCATAGAGTTTATTCTTGTATTGTTATTAACTATTATATTATTTTCCATGTGGACAGCTGTAAGCCTACGTTTGTCCAGCCTTGTATATTTAAATTTAGATATAACATTTAGTTTTGAATGTCAGCTCCTAAAAATGAAATCTGAGACACTGAGAGATCCTGTGCACTGTATTCCGAGCTAGTAAATTTCATGGCCCCAAATCCATCATATCTACTTTCTTTCATTAATTAGTTTTCTAATCGGTCTGAGGAGAAGAAACAAAACAGCGGATCATCTACAAACAAATGGGCATTATCAGAGCATGGCTTTCAATGGAATCAATGCAGAAAGGAAATAAATGGACAGCATGTGCTTTCCAAATGGTTCTTTATGAGAAAATTGCTTCATCTTAATTTGATCAGTCAATATCTTTGCTTATATGCATAAATTACAGGTTATGTCCTTTAAATGTATTCTAAGTGGACTGACAACTGACCCCAAAGAAGGGTTCTCCATATAATGAAAACAAATCGGTTTTCAAGATTATTAGCAGCTCTGACCAGGAGGCAGGGCCGTTTACTATCAACAACGCTATCAGTACTTTGGGGCCTTGGGCCATATATTGTTGCCTATGAGCACCGTTTGGTAGTCCAGATCTTTCTTCATAGAACTATTTCCTAGAAAAACAAACAGACCCAGACACACTTTCTGCATGCTGCCAACTGCAGTTGCCGCCTTATTGAATCAAAGTTGTCTGCCTGTGCTGTTACAGGGAACAAGGGACCCACTGTTTCTGACGGGCGTCACATTCCCATCTGAGTATCCCATCTATGAGGAGACCAAAATAAAACTCACAGTCTATGATGTCAAGGATAAATCTCATGATACCGTAAGTACTTGTACTTCTTTCTTTCTCTGGGAAAAGGAGTTATGCTTTTCCAAACTTTTGTGTGTGTGTTTTTATTGTTGTTTTACATAACTGGCATTTTTCAAAGAGGGTATTTGTGCTGTGTTGATGCCTGTCTTCTGTTTATAGTTTTCTAGGATTATTCTTTTCAGATTCATTTGGTTTAAATGCCAAATTGGCAATGGGGTAAGAGTAAAAACTTCCAGAACAGATTTCTCTCTTTTTCAGGAAGGCTGGCTTGATCTCTTGGTTTATATTTTTGTTGTTGTTTTAAGAAGTTGCTGAAAGTGTGTTACTGTGGGTAGAATGTGAGTGGAAAAAATTAAATAATGGTTCAAAACTGCTTGGATATTGGAACTACTCGAAAATGGGATTGACAAAGTGTTCAACTTTCACCATTTATTCTTTTACATACTCTATAGAGAGAAATTCCCTCTGTGTTTCCTGAAGTTTTTCCTGGCATCAAAGCAAACAGAGGAGGCGATGGAAGCACTGGGCAGAAGCTTTAATTTGTTCTTTTTGCGTGAAAGTCATATAAAGTCCCAACGGCTATTTTGTCCTAGATTCTCCAGTCTTCCCACCTGGTCTGACTTTTCCTCCACTTGATCCAGACCTCGTGAGTAGACAGTTAAGTGCGCAGGCAATATCTCTAGAGGTCTTTCTTAAAATTTCTGGACTGGAAAGAATGCTGTTGGATAGGCATTGGCAAGGGGGAGATTTAAAATGAGCCTTCTCCCTTTAGCATAAACTTTAGTCTGTTTTCAAGGCAGGAGTCTCGATGGTCAACAGTGAAGCATTAACCAACCAGGAGACACTTTGAAGGCAGGTGGGCCAGCAGGTTCCAGGAGAATTCTGGATGGAGTTCAGGGATGCTGCTAGACCTGGGGAACCACACAGCAACTGGTCCAAGGGAAACTTAGCTTTAAATTATGCCTTCACTGAGGCATTTGTCTTGCCGCTGACTCTTTCTTTCCTTTCCTTTCCATTCTTTACCCTAAAATATATAGCATAGATGGACGGTGGGGGTATTTAATAGAGAAAATATTCTATATTGAAGGAATTTCTACTCATCTTAGTCCCAGAAAAGTTCACGTCTTTAAAACTGCAGCAGAAATGCCCAATCAAATGCACAGCATGTATGTGGAACAGAAATAGCTGTGGTGGTCTGGTACATCTATTTATTACACAGGCTCACTGGTTCCTGTTATATTTACTAGCTTTGTGACCCTGGGAGAGTTAATTATCTGTGCCTCTGTTTCTTCATTTATAGTATTTACCTGGTGGGGTTGTTGTGAGGGTTAAATAAGTTAATGTAGGTAAAATATTTAGAAGACTAACTGTTATGGATTAATTAATAAGTGTAAGTTGATGCTTTTATTGTTGTAATTGTGCTGGCTGCTGCCTCATGGTCCCTCAGGGCATATTAACTAAAATCTTTTTTTTTAAATTTTTTTTATTTATTTACTAACTTTATTTTTTCTTAAGTGGCACTATATTTATTATTTCTTACTTCCTTGAAGAGGGGAAAGACAAAATATTTTGCAACGCAAAACTGGGGTTAAAACCGGCAACTAAAAATTATTTGCTTGTGAGTTTTGTTTTGTTTCCTTTCCATTTTCCTTGATTTTTTGAGGTCATGTGTGGAAAAGGAGTGGACTGATCTGGATCAGGTTGATAGATTACGCACAAGGCTATGTGCAGATTGATGGCTGTCCCTTTTTATTTTTTGCCTTCTGCCAGAAAAGGGAGAGAAATGAAGGGACCGAGGAAAGATCATAAAGTTGGGAAGGCGAGAGAGGCGGTTCAGATGGATTTGGGGAGGAGGTGCTATAACTGTGCAGAAGAGTAATAAGCAGAGAAACGAGCAGGATGACAGGGAAAGCAAAGCAGTAACTGTGGGCTTTTATGTTCTTCCAAGCACATGATCAGATTCAATCTTCCCTCCAGGCCCATAGGCAGGGCAGAGGATACGGAAGGGAAAGGGTTATAGAAGCACTATACTACAGGAATGAAAATGTTGCCCCTATACTCTTGGGTTTGATGTCTTCAGAATATCAGCATTAGAAATATTAAACACCAAAGGTATTTCTATCCCCTTCAACCTCCCTCATTCACAATGTGCATGTATGTTAATGCTTTCGGGATAAAAAATTTGCTTACTCATTAATTATGCTTTTTGTTGACTTCTATTTCTGGAAACTAATTATTTAGGGTCTTTTACAGACATTCTTCCTTGATCAGAGGTATTATCACATAAGAGTATTGGATGAACTGGAATCCCTGCTGTGAAACAAAGATTTGTGAAACTTGAACATACTTGAGAAAACCAACCGGCTTTCATTTACCAAGTGCTGTTAATTAAGGCACAGCCTCTTCCTTAAAATAACTAACAATTAGCTCTGGTGATGGAAGTGTAAATAGGAACACAGTTCGTTAATTTGCTAATAGTCCCCATGGACACAGACTTTTCATCCTGGCTCTTTCTCTCTCATTTCTGAAGATTTTGTTTGGGGTGGGGG